AAAAAGAGTTAAAAATAATTCTCCATTAAAAAAGAAAAAAAAAAGGTTTGGGATGCCTGCGTGGCTCAGCGGTTGGGTGTCTGCCTTCAGCTCACAGCGTGATCCTGGAGTCTGGGGATCGAGTCCCATGTTGGGCTTCCTGCATGGAGCCTGCTTCTGCCTCTGCCTTTGTCTCTGCCTCTCTCTCTCTCTCTCTCTCTCTCTCTCTCTCATGAATAAATAAAGTCTTTTTTTTTTAAAAAAAAAGGTTTTTCCCCTCATTTGGCAATTGGTATGAATTCTTTCCATTTTCAGAGATAGGATATAGACTTTATTCTCTGTCAAAAGTGAGAGTTTGAAAAGTACTCTTAGTTAGATTTTGGGTAAGAATTAAAACACATAATGGCTTCCTACAATTGTTTTCCATTACTAATTCCCTCCCTTTCTCACTGTCTTGCTCTTCTGCTCTCCTTCATCAAGCCTCTTTGTTTCTACATCTTTCTGCTCCTGAAACTTTTTTCTTATTACTGTGTGTGGTATGTATGATCTGTTTTCTGTAATATCTCTCCTTTCTTTCTCCTTTCTCTCTACCTCCCTTCGTCTCTCTTCCTTAACTGGTCATAATTCATAGTCGGAATATACTGAAATTTTTAAAAACTGAATTTCTTTTTTTTTAAGATTTTATTTATTTATTCATGAGAGACACACAGAGAGAAAGAGAGGCAGAGGGAGAAGCAAGCTCCATGCAGGGAGCCTGATGCGGGACTCGACCCTGGGTCTCTAGGATCAGGCCCTGGACTGAAGGTGGGGCTAAATCGCTGAGCCACCCAGTCTGAACCTAAAAATGAATTTCATATTGCATTAAAAAAATAAAATAGATAAAATGTGTTCTAATACAAAGCAAAAAAAGTTCTATTAAAGCACTAGGTAGAACCTAGAGGTAGGCAGGCTTCTGTTTATCAGAACTAAAGAACTTTTTAAGTGGTAGTAACTCTGAAAATTAGAGCAGCCTTCCTTTCTCAGAAGATAGTGAGATTTTCTTTACCCAGGGGGCTGAAGCAATGTTGTCAGGGGAACTGCAACTTCTTCAGGTGGAAGGGGCTGTGTAGAATTTTAGATTCAAGTACCAACTAAAATCCTCTCAGTCTATAATTCTAATGCTTAGGTGTGTGGTTTTTAAAAGTTTGATTCTTAAATATGTGACAGATTGTCTGCCATCCAAGAAAACAGACATTTTAAGCAGCAATCCATGCAACAGAGCAATTACAATGATCTGTGTCTTGGGGGTTGGATTAAAGACCACAAGGTCCCTTTGACCAAGTCCTTTAATGGTAATTGATAATGAAATCCTTTCCCAGGATACACATAGAACCATTTCATATGTGACATAAAGAAAATGGGGAAAAGAAAAGAAAAAAAAAAAGAAGAGAAAGAAAACTAAGTTACATTCTCTTCATTTGAATTTAATCACCATGCCTGGGAATCGCATACCGGCCTTGTTCTCTTACTGACTGTGAGAGTGGGCGCGCCTCTTCCTTTCTTTGTGACTCCACTGTGCCCCCCAAGGAAAGTTGGGAAGTTGAAATAAGTCATCTCTGGTCCTTCTGTGACATATGCAGAGCCACATATGAAGAACCCTTGTGCAAACCTGCTCAGTATCTTCAAATTTCTAGTGTTCTAACCTGATCTTTTATTTGTCACCTCTGTTTCTGCCCACCCACGCTTCTTTTCTTGTCTTTTGGATTAATCAAGATTTTAAAAGTATCCTTCTATTGGTTTTTTAGCTATTCCTTGTATTAAGGGATTAAATATGCATTCTCTAATTATCCTATTCTACTTAATGTTGTGTCACTTAATGTAAATAAGAAACTTACTGTTGTAGAATTCTATATCCCCTTTCTTTATGACACGTTGCCAAATATTTTTCATTTCCACACTTATCAATCCCACAATATATTGTTACAATTCTTGCTTTAAACAGCCAGTTGTACTTAGTCTCATGTTTTGATGTTGACTCTCCATGTTTCCTCTGCCCAGTTATGGTCAGTCCCAGGCAGTAGTGAGGCCTCTTCAACCCTATTTCTCAACGGACTCTCTGTGAGGGATCAGAAAATTTTTACTGTAGAGGCACATTCAATGTTTTGAGGCTTTGTGAGATGGTCTCGGTGAAACTACTCAACACTGCCAGTGTAGTGTGAAAACAGCCAAAGATAGGACCTAAATGAGTGGGTGTGATTGTGTTCCAATAAAACCTGATTTATGAAACAGACAGCAGACTCCATTTGGTCTGCAGACCACAGTTTGCTGACCTGTGGTCTATACCATTGGTGGTAAGTAGTCAAGTCCATATTTCTTATCTGTAATTCTGAAATTCTTAGAGCTCTGAAAATTATATTTTTATAACTCACTTGGCAGCAAACATGACCCAACCTGAACTTATCTGGTGAAAGAACTTGGCCCACACTGTAATGAGGCTATTTACAGTCTATTTATCACACTTTATGTGAATATTTGTATGTTTTACTACAGAAATATTAATATGTTGATTAAAGAGTGCTGCTCCACAGCATGTTGGTGGCATCAGATGACTGTGTTACCTTTTCTAATTTAAAAATTCTGGATTCTGTAATACACTTGGTCCCAAGGATTTTATTAAAGAATTGTGGACTGATAGTTGTCTGATTAGATATGAAGTTTAAAAGAAGTGGTTAAAATGAACTAACAGTCTACAATTGTGTTTGCTAGAATAAGTTGTTACCTGTCCTTGCTTCCTCGGTTCAGGATCTTCCTCTGGCTTTTTAGGGGACTCCCTAGTCACCCCAGTCTCCTCTGGTGCATTGCCCCGTTTGGAATGTCTTTGACTCAGCAGAACCATAACTTTTACTCCACAGAAATAATAATATAATGCCTACTGATAAATTTCTCAAAAGTAGTGGCTTTTTAACTTTTATCCTGGTTGATTAATTGGCAGATCATTGTATAAGGTTAGGAGTGAAGATTGAATTACAATCTTGAGTTCTCATGTATTAGACTGTATCTTTGGAAAAGTCACTTAGTCTTTGTAAGCCTCAATTTGTGAGCCTTCAGCTGGAGAAAAGAATGATAACATTTACCTCATAGGATTAAAATGTAGAGGACTTAGCTAAGTGTTTGGCTCAAAATACCTGTTCAATAAATATTAGTTTAGTTATTTTGTAAATAGAACTGGATTAATTGGAAAAATAAAAAGCTGCAAACCACCTTCCTGAATCTGGTTCATGCCCTTAGAGGCCAATTCACATTATTTATTAATGGCTTACTGTAACACCCAACCTTTGTTAATATGTGGAAAGTCTCTGAACAATTGTGAATTCTTGGAAATTGTCTGCAAAATTTTATATATATTGTCCTTTAGAGAATGTCTATAAATTTCATCTGAGTCTTAGAGATTTATGTTCCAAAAAAGACTAAGAACCAATGTTCTAAGTGTACCCATTACAGCATATTTGGAGGATTATGAATGAGACAGTGATGTTCTTTCTGATCCATTAAGGTTTCCCATTCGAATAGAGCTGAGAAATTTCTTCACTATCTGTTCTTTGTGGAACTAGCTTGGGTACATGACATGAAAACCCTTTGAATATTCGGAGCTGTAGTCATCAAAGTTTACGAACAAGTCCCAAGCTGATGTCAGTGCTAAAGGCATGCTCACAGGAATAATAGATCCATGTGCGGATATCAGGGAGTAAACCTTGACTTGAGCCTACAAACTGAGCTCATTGGCTGACCTGCCCTATGAAGCTTTATGACAAATGTGAAGTTTTCTGTGGCCCTGATAAAATGTTTGTATTCCCTATACCCCATGGGTATACCGAACAGCCAAAAAAGAAGAAAACTATATATGCAAAGTCAGCTTATCTTGGCAATGAGCCTGCTGGGAGCAATATTCAAGTCTCTAGAATAGAATAAATATACAGCTTTCTTCTTGGCTGCATGACTTGGAACTAGCTGTCACTTAGCAGTTCAGCTTGTGACATGGTAACAGCTGCATCAGGGACAAGCTTCAGCTCACCTCAGTAACACGAAAACAAGTTAGAACCAAGGTGGCTGGTGCATGTGTGGGCACATGAGGTGTGAGTCACGGAGAGAGTCATGAAACCTTCTCTTGGCAAGATAGGCTACAAACAGAGTGTAAAGACACCCTCTCCAAGCCTTCATGTCAAGGATAAACTGTTGCTGGAAGAATGCTTCGGGTTTTACAGTGGGAGACCAAAGGACCCTGATTGTGTCCATGTAAGGCAGAGTGGAGAGCCAGCCCCACTACAGCTCAGAATATCATTTTAATGACATTATCCCTCATAGATTAAAAGTCTCCTGTGTAGAGTCACTTAAGAATTTAGAGTATGAGATAGATGTGAATTCTGATAAGTTCTAGGTACCTAATGACTTCCCTGGAGGCTGATCTATAATTATGAGTAAGTTCATATTTCTCAGGCTCCTCTATCAATAACGAAAGGTGCAGTTTGAGAATAAAAGGCAATTTAGTCCTCAAGAAGGGAGAAAGACCTCCAGCTAAAGGATAATAAAATAAAAGGACTTCTAACTTACTATAGGTAGAGCAAACAATGTAATAGCACCTCAGCCCTATTTCTGAATTACCAGAAATGGAATAGTTCCCATTTCTGAATAATTCTATGACCCAAGAAGAGATCAGAGTGCAGAGAATAACATGGAAAACATACAGAGAAACCACAGAGCTGGTTTTTGGTTTTTCTATTATAACATGAGGCTCCTGTCTCTGAGTGTAGGTCTCTGAAATGTGATGATTCCAAGAGTGTATTTTGGAAGCCAGTACACATATGGATGTGTATGTGGCTACAGAAAATGGGGCTCCCTCTGTCTATCTTTAATCCCTTTGTGATGTCAGAGCTGGCCAAATATGACCAGTAAGCCTAGATAACCACAAAAGAGAGAAATGGGCACATTGGGATCAATAGATGACTGTCCACCTACTATTGTCTAGAAGAGAATTATAACAGTACCTTCCTGGAGAGTCTCCATTCTCATCAAATAGGATCATATCTCCAGAAACCCCAGTAAAATTGGTTTTCATCAGGGAATCCAAAAGTTTCCGTCCATCGATTGGTTTCATTGCATCACAAAGGCCTGCATAGCCTGGACAGAGGGACATCTGCATGTTGTGGAGCCCATAGGCCATGGAATAGATCGCATTGATCACAAATCCCATTTTGGAATCTTGAACGTGATGTGTTCTCAGAGTCAGAGAACCTGTTGAGAAACAAATTAAGGATTAACTATGAGATTGAATTATACTACAGCTCTATCCATGGATTCTGAATAATTGGAGAATTCACAGCAGCAATTTATCAGAGTTAGAATCAGAGTAAATGCAAAGCTACGAGTGCCAGAATAGAATGGCCTCTGATCGCTTTCTATTTCCAGGCTTTTCTCCCCCTAAAACCTTGAAGAAAAATCTGAACCCCAACACTACCAAGATTCACTTCCTCTGTTACCAATCTCTAGAGATAGACGCAGGAGAGCACTATATTTCTGTACCAAAGAATTTATCTTAAGGACAGATTAATCTCCTTAGTACTCAACTATGATAATACACTTCCTTGGTTTAGAAATGCACAACAAATCTCCTGTTGCCAAACTATTAAGTCTTAGCTAAGCAAACTAGATTTTCTACCATCTTGCCTCAACTTACCTGTTAGGATGCACCACTTCCCACCTCAAAGCACATGCTCTCCATAAACTAGCCTACTTGGAAATTCTAAAACATAATCTAACATTTACAGTCTATTAATTAATTAATTGGAGTCTGAGTATACAAAAAACTGTGTGGTTGATGGTCTAGGAACAAAACAAAGATGAACTGGGCATGGATTCTGCACTTAAGAAGAAATTTTTTCAGTAATAGAAATAAATTATGTAGCTACAGTGAAAGATAGAATGTGACAAACTTGTAACAAATATGGAGTTAAAATCTATGGAGGCCCAAAGAGGGAGAGATCTCTTCCAACGGAGGGCTCTTGGGAAAATTTCATTAGAGAACTAATATTTGGGGGGATCCCTGGGTGGCGCAGCGGTTTGGCGCCTGCCTTTGGCCCAGGGCGCGATCCTGGAGACCCGGGATCGAATCCCACGTCGGGTTCCCGGTGCATGGAGCCTGCTTCTCCCTCTGCCTTGTCTCTGCCTCTCTCTCTCTCTGTATGACTATCATAAATAAATAATTAAAAAAAATTAAAAAAAGAACATTTGGAATGGTTTATTGATTCAACAAATATGGAATGAGTGCCTGTTACTTCTGACAGCTCAGAAGGTGCTGGGAGTGAGGGACCTAATGTTGAATAAGATAAATCTGATTCTTTCCTTAGAGTCTAGAAGGCACAGGAGCATCTAAGCAGATCACTGCAGTGTGATTTGATAAGTGTGGAGGCAGTACCAAGTCGGGAGGGGCACCAGACCCAGAAGTTCATTGCTGCTGAGAACTATGGCTGAGTGTCAGCTGGATGAGGAGTGGAGGGAAGAGTGTTTAAGGGTTCTTGGCTGAGAGAGAGAGAATGCTCTGTCTGGGAAACCTTAAGAAGGTTGGAATGCCCAGACCATGACATGCAAGATGGGGGAATGGGGAGTGCAAAAGGAGCAGAGGAGACAAGGGCTGCATAAGCTACATGAAGATTGCTGCACTTTATCATAAAGGTCACTGGGGGCCTTTGCAGTGTTTAACTAGGAAGGGGCGTGATCAGAATTCTGTTTCAGGAAGACCAGTCTGGCTATAGTGCAGAGAGAGATTGAAAGGGCTGTGGGAGGGGAGCCAGAAAGACCCATGAAGAGGAGATACAATGATCCCCATGACAGCTGAAAAGGGCTTGGCCTGGGTAGAGGCTATGGTCACGGGCAGCAGTGTCTAGGGGCAGAATCCACTGCCAGGCCTGGGGAGTGAAGAATGAGGAGTGAGACATAGAAGGAGAACAGTGGTAAGAAGCTGTAAGGAAGAGCTGAGGTAAAGACAGAGCTTGTCATTGGGGGAAAAGTTTTCTGTAAGAGAGATAAAAATGGATTTTCCAAAGTAGCATAGTTCTTCATGAGTTCTAAACTATGGAGGCATATTATCCCCTTCTTTTTTTTAAGATTTTATTTATTTTTATTCATGAGAGACACATATAGAGAGAAAGAGAGGCACAGAGACACAGGCAAAGGGAGAAGCAGGCTCCATGCAAGGGAGCCTGACATGGGACTCAATCCCAGGTCTCCAGGATCAGGCCCTGGGCTGAAGGTGGTGCTAAACCGCTGAGCCACCCGGGCTGCCCATATTATAACCTTCTTAATTGCTGGCCCAAATGCTGACTCTTTGCTTTCGTGAGCAGAAAGGGAAAGCAGCAGGGCTCATCCTGACATGAGTTTAAGATGGGGAATCCTATTTCCATCTAAGGACTAGACATTGGACCCAGGCTACTTTCCAAACTTTCTTACAACTTTCTTCTCTCCACAGGTTGCCTTTGTACTTCCACATTTTCCCATATGCCACTGGAAACTCTGTACTTCCAGGTACTAAGTCATCTTTTACTTGGGGTCACTTTTTACTCGTCTTCCTTCCTATCTTCTCAACTCTTATTTGGATTTTTTTTAAATTTATTTATGATAGTCACACACACAGAGAGAGAGAGAGAGAGAGGCAGAGACACAGGCAGAGGGAGAAGCAGGCTCCATGCACCGGGAGCCCGACGTGGGATTCGATCCCGGGTCTCCAGGATCGCGCCCTGGGCCAAAGGCAGGCGCCAAACTGCTGCGCCACCCAGAGATCCCCTCAACTCTTATTTGATCTATCTTTAAAATATATCTAGAGGGGATCCCTGGGTGGCTCAGCGGTTTGGCGCCTGCCTTTGGCCCAGGGCGCGATCCTGGGAGTCCCAGGATCAAGTCCCACGTCAGGTTCCTGGCATGGAGCTTGCTTCTCATTCCTCCTGTGTCTCTGCCTCTCTCTCTCTCTCTCTATCATAAATAAATAAATAAATCTTTAAAAAAATAAAATATATCTAGAATTAAACTATTTCATACTAATCTACTTCCACCAGGTTTAAGATACATCATCTCTTGTCTGGATTACAGACAGTCTTTTGACTGGTCTTTTTTTTTTTTTTTTTAAGATTCTATTTATTTATTCATGAGGGTCACACAGAGAGAGAGAGGTAGAGACATAAGCAGAGGGAGAAGCAGGCTTCACGCAGGGATCCCGAAGTGGGACTCAATCCTGGGACTCCAGGACCACGCCCTGGGCTGAAGGCGGCACTAAATCGCTGAGCCACCCGGGCTGCCCTGACTGGTCTTTTTTTAACCTTTGCCCACCACCACCTTCCAGCCAATTTTCAACACAATAGCTAGAAGAAATTCCCTTAAAATGTAAATCAGATGATGACATTCCTCTGATTGAACTTTCCAGTGGCTTCTTTATTACTGAAAGTAAAAGCCACAGTCCTTGCAATGACCTTAAAAGATATACAGGGACTTGACTCACGGTGTTCCATCCCTCATCGTTCTGTCTCCATCTCCTAACACTCTGCATTTAAATTATTCCTCTCTAGCTACACTAATTTCCTTCCTAATCCTCAAATATTCAGGGGGTGCCCCTGCCTCCAGACTTGCTGGTCCTTCTACCCAGACTGCTCTGCCACAGAGATCTGCAGAAACTGCTCCCTCCTAGCAAGTCTTTGCTCAAATATCATCCTCTCTGTGAGATCTTCTGGGGCATCCTGCCTAAATCTCATCTCCACCCCACCCCCAGACACTCTATCTTCTTTCCCAAAAATATTTTTCTCCTTACCATCTTCTAAAATGCTGTATGTTTGTCTTTTTATTGTCTGTTTCATCTACCCACTAAAATGTAAACTCTGTGAGGCCAGGGTGTTTTTTTTTTCCTGTTTTGTTTACTACTCAGTGCCTAGGACAGTGCCTAGCACATGTGAGTCCCCAATAACTATCTGGTGAATAAATTAAAGAATTACCCCTGCTAACTAGATAATCCCTTCTATTTTCTTTCCGACCTTACTAACACTAATTGTCTCAATTTTTAAAGTTATCAAGAACCTTTCTTTCATGAAGACCACCATGACTGCAGATACTAAAATTAATCTTGCTCTTCCAAACTCCCTATCACTTTCTCTATACCTCTCTTAGGCACCCTGCACACCATGCTGTAGAAATGTAGGCATACTTAGGGAAGGGAGAATTTGAAACACCTATCCCCCCCCACCTCCTACCTTCCTCTAATGACTCCCTGAATGGATATGTGTCACTCACACATCACTTCAGCCTCCCAATCCACAATCAGAGGTCAGCAATAGTTACTTCTAGGGCTACTAGACAGGGGGTGCTTTGACTTTCATTCTCTTCTTTTTCCTTTTATGAGAAGAGGAGGGTGATGTAGCTGTAAATTCTTGCCTTATGTCTTCCTAGCTCCGTGACTTGGGCAAGTTACTTTAATTCTCCAAGATTCAGTTTCATCATCTGTTAAGTGGTGGTAACTTATACATACCTTGCACGGCACCTGGCACAAAGTCACTGTACCAAAATGTAAATCATAGCGACCTTTAGCCACCATGTTTTGTGGTCAAGACTTTGGAGAATGAAAGCAAAGCCAAAGGTGTTTCCTGATAGGATGTGCAGTAGAGCTCTTAGGCACTCAGTTTCCTCTTCCCTTCCAGAGGTTTCTTTAGGCCTTGTTGGCAATAGATAGCAACTGTCAAGAAGGCAACATTTGAGCCTTATTCATGTGTAAGTAAAATCACAGGACTTAGGGCATGGTTACTGCCCTGTTTGTTGAATTGAATGGAGGCAAGAATGAAAATTTGCATTTTTCTTTGGCACTTTCAAAATAATTTTTACATATATCAGTGATGTGCATCAATAGTGTATCACACTGGGGATCCCTGGGTGGCGCAGCGGTTTGGCACCTGCCTTTGGCCCAGGGCACGATCCTGGGGACCCGGGATAGAGTCCCACGTCGGGCTCCCGGTGCATGGGGCCTGCTTCTCCCTCTGCCTGTGTCTCTGCCTCTCTCTCTCTCTCTGTGACTATCATAAATAAATTAAAAAAAATAGTGTATCACACTGCATAGAAACTGAGCTGTAGACAGTCTAGGTAGATTCTCCAAGGTTATGCAGATAACATCAAAAGTAGACAAGAATTTCTAACACCAGATTGGTGCCCTTTTTGCAATCACTATATCATTTTCACTAGAAATACTCCCTGCACAATATTACTGT